GGTGGCCTTAGGGGTCGGCGCCACTCCCCCCTCCCCGGTAGGGTCGGCGGCACTCTCCCCTTCCCCCCTCGATAGTAGCGTGAGGTTGCACTTCACCTTCCCCGGTCGACCGTAGGCGTTCGGTGGCACTCCCGTCGGCCGGTAGGGTCAGCTGCACTCCCCCTTCCCCCGTCGGACCGTAGCGTCGGCGGCCACTCCCCCTCCCCCGTCGACCGTAGCAGATGCTAAACTCCATTCCATGCTGTAACAGTCACTCACCCCGGTACAATTAACCATCATTGTCCTCTACCGTCCGCCAGGCTCCTTAGGTCATTTCTTGGAAGAACTGGACATTCTCCTGTCTAATTTCCCCGAAAATGGACCTCCCGCTCATCCTCCTGGGTGACTTCAACATCCAGACAGAGAAGTCATCTGACCTCGTACACCTACTTTCTTCCTTCGCTCTGTCACTCAGTCCCTCTCCTCCTACTCACAAAGCCGGCAATCACCTTGACTACATCTTTACTAGAAACTGCTCTACCACTAACCTCTCTGTAACTCCACTTCATGTGTCTGATGACTTCTTCATCTCTTACTCTCTCCCACTCTCTATAACTAACAAACCTCCCTCATTGACTAACTCTGTACCGGCTCGTCGCAATATTCGCTCCCTCTCTCCCTCCTCGCTGGCATCCTCTGTTCTATCAGCTCTCCCTTCAACTGATTCCTTCTCACTCTTGCATCCAAACGCTGCTGCAGAGACTCCTCTCAACTCTTTCCTCCTCTCTAGACTCTCTCTGCCCTCTTACGACACGACGAAAATGGCAAATCCCCTCCGGCTCCGTGGCTGTCTCAACCGGTGCGTGCCATGAGAGCCACCACGCGAGCGTCGGAAAGGAGATGGCGTAAATATAAACGACCTGACGACCTGCTTAAATTTCAATCTCTCCTCTCCTTGTTTTCTGCTTCTATCTCTGCTGCCAAAAGTTCTTTCTACCAATCCAAAATTGAATCTTCATTTTCTAACCCCAAAAAACTCTACAGACCGTTCTCTCTTCTTCCCTTTTTGTCCAAAACCCTTGAACGTGCTATCTTTAATCAACTCTCCTCTTATCTCCACTGTAACAATCTCCTTGACCCCCACCAGTCAGGTTTCAAGGCAGGCCACTCCACAGAGACTGCTCTCCTTGCTGTCTCAGAGCAACTCCACACTGCTAGAGCCCCCTCTCTCTCCTCTGTCCTTATCCTTCTGGACCTCTCTGCTGCATTTGACACGATCAACCACCAGATCCTTATTTCCTCCCTTCAGGAACTTGGTGTCACAGGCTCTGCTCTCTCCCTTCTCTCGTCCTACCTCGACGGCCGCACCTACCGGGTAACCTGGCGAGGATCTGTGTCGGAACCTTATCCTCTTACTACGGGAGTTCCTCAGGGTTCCGTGCTGGGTCCCCTCCTGTTCACGCTTTACACCAACTCTCTTGGCGCTGTCATTCGCTCGCATGGCTTCTCTTACCACAGCTATGCTGATGACACCCAACTAATTCTCTCCTTCCCTCACTCGGACACCCAGGTGGCGGCTCGGATCTCTGCCTGTCTAACTGACATCTCTCAGTGGATGTCCCGCCCACCATCTGAAAATCAACCCCGACAAGACTGAACTACTTCTCTTTCCCGGAAAAGATTCGCTTACCCAGGACCTGACAGTCAATTTTGGAAACTCCGTACTAACGCCCACTTTGACCGCTAAGAACCTCGGCGTCACACTCGACAGTCAACTCTCCCTGACTCCCAACATCACCGCGAGTACGCGATCCTGTAGATACACGCTCTACAACATCAGGAGAATACGTCCCCTTCTCACTCAGGAGGCAGCGCAGGTACTGATTCAGGCTCTTGTCATCTCCCGCCTGGACTACTGCAACTCCCTCCTGGCTGGTCTCCCTGCGACCGCCATTCGACCTCTGCAGCTCATTCAGAATGCAGCAGCTCGACTCGTCTTCAACCTTCCAAAATTCTCCCACACTACTCCACTCCTCCGCTCTCTTCACTGGCTACCGGTGGCCGCCCGCATCCAGTTCAAAACATTGGTGCTCACGTACCATGCTGTGAATGGATCAGGTCCAGCTTACATCCAGGACATGGTAAAACCCTACATCCTAACCCGCACTCTCCGCTTTGCATCTGCAAAACTACT